GCAGCAACCTTAGTTTTTCCCAGGAGGTCTCCATCCAGGTACTGACCAGGCTCACACCTGCTTAGCTTCAGTGGGTTGCCAGTTGTGAGTTGCAGAGTGATATGACTGCTGGCCATAAAATACAACCAATTCAAATTACATATAAACAAAATAAAGAAGAATCCCCCTTCTAAAGCTGTTCTGTAATCCCTAAAATTATTTTTGGAACTAGGATAAAGATAACTTGAGTCTCACTAACTCCATTCTTGATTTAATAAACTTGATTTAATTTGAACTACAAGCCTTTTGTAATGTTTAAAACAAAAATCATGTTTAAGAAAAAAAAAGATTTATATGGATTTGGATTTGCTGGATAACAGCACTGCGTGGGTTAAACACTTCAAAAGTTAACACAGCAATACATAAACTTTGCATATTACAGTCATGGAGTGTATTTTATTACACCCACTTCTTGGTTTAAATATACTAAGACTAATATACTTCACTTTGTGTCTTCAGATTCTAGTGCCCATTTTGTGTAAATTCTGTTTTTCAAGATTCTGAGTACTGGACTACAGAAGCAGAATCTAGCAGAATCTCCAAGAGGACTTTGTGCATGACTTAAGAGACTAACTCTAACCTCTATTTTAGTGTTTGTCACACTTTCCAGATCCTGGAATTATACTGCCCACACTTCATTCAATTTTTACTGCAGCAATTCTTTTTTGTATAACGGATTCCAAAAATGAATATCTCTCATCCTAGCGTTAATCCCGGATCAGCAGGGTCCGCTTGTCGGCACTCCCGTCTCCATTTGGTGGTTTGAACCAAATCTTTGAGCTGACGTTGCCATTAAATGCGACCGAGAATACTCCAACCGGTGCGTCCCTCCGCCTGGGGGAGGGGGACGATGACAAAGTAATGTAGCCAATTCATATAGGGGGATTATTAGGAGGCATGGGAAATTTGGCCATTACTGACTGGCTGGGTCCAAAAATGAATACGGCATTCTAAATGTGATCTGATCGGGTGAATGATAAGGCTTTGCCACTGTTATGATCTTGTTACGATAAGCTACATTTAAAATGCCCTAAAAATACATTTTGAAAGGAGCAAGACAACAGTACAAAGCAGCTCAACAATTGCTTAAATTTGCTGATAAAACAGTTGGAGAATAAAAACTTCCTTAATTTCCCCTACAGAACTCAAAAGCTCACATCAGTAAA